AAGGTACAAAACGTTCCTATACTGAGAAAAATATTCCTTGTTGTATCAACAAGGAATATAAACAAAACAAATTCTAATCACACCAATTCGAATTCTGATTATTGTAATAGACTTTTTTACTACCTCGACTAAAATGTTTGATAGATTTAATTATAAATATCTAATTTATGCCTTTCTTATTGAATCTACCAAAATTCCAATTGATGCAACAAAAATTTATTTTTCAGTGTGTGTGTGTGTGTGTGTGTGTGTGTGTGTGTGTGTGTGTGTGTACCACAGTCTCCCCTACATTCAATTAAAGATATCGCATCTTCCGGAAAACGTTCTCTGGAATAATAACATTTACGGAAAATTTGTTCCCTGTCGATTCGGTGGAAAGAACACAATTTTTGTTCTGTGCAGTCTATGCAAGCGTTATACTATTATACACTTAAAAGAACACCGTAGCTCTTCGAAGGGATACCTAATGTTTATCCAAAGCATGGACAGCGGTCGGCTACCCGAATCGCTGAGTTGTTTCGAAACCGGTGGTGCTTAAACGTGCAATAAGTGGAGGAAGAGAGAAGTGTGGGAGGGTCAAACTAATTCGATTCTAAACTCTGACCACATCGCGAGAAAGAGGACAGAACGCTCCGATGCGGGAGGGTTTCCCGGGGGATGAGGAAGGCTACACGCCCGAACGGACCGAACGAGGTGGACACAGATGGCACTAACCGCGCCGTTAAATTCTCAAGCCGTAACTCTAATTACTCATAGACAAGCCGACATTCTAGTGCCAGATGCCGGTGAAACTTGTTAAAAGCACGCGAACGCGATTACTCATTCTATCCTGAACGACGGCGATTGCAGCCGAAAGTCGATCCGAGATTTTCCGGCTGCTTCGGCTTTTAGATCTAAATAATGACATAAAAAATAGTTTTTATAATAGATAAATGATATTAAAGTAACTGTTATCCATTAATCAATCGTCAGAATAAAACCCATATACCAAAGATAAATAAATGTAACACCCAAATTAAAATTTATTATAATTTGATCAAAAAATGTTCGTTTCACACGACACAGTTAAGTGAAAAAAGGCGTATTCGATCAAAATAGATCTTGATATTTAATAATATTTTGTGTGACTTTTACAATTTTCGGTTCAAGTAAATTGCGCACTGATTTATCATTCTTGAAACACAGTTTTAAACTGAAATCGGAATATCATGCATAAATTAACAATTTAATAAAATAGATATTTATAGCATTTTAACACACTATAAAGAATTTGAAATAACTGGAATAAGAATTTAAACTGGAAATTGTGAGATTCACTCAAAAAATATTATTGAATACCAAGATCCGCTTTGACTGAATATACGGTTTTCTTCGCTTAATTTCTTCGCTTAATTGTGTTATAATATCAAACCTGATATCGCACTCTCAATATGTTTCCTGAATAAAATTTGAATGTGTTGAACATAAATTCCACGAGATGGTTTATACGACGCATGTGTTTGTACGATGGCGATTAAATCAACATTTCTGTATCATGTTGCAGGCGATAAAATGACTATGGATGGGAGCAAGAGCGAACCGGGCAAGAACGGGGCCACTCAACAGGAATGCGCGGGTTGTGGAAAGGCGATTACGGAGAGGTAAGTGTTCCGCTTCGTTTGCGTGATGCAACGAAGGAACGCTACATGGTATGTTTCACATCCTACCTTGAAAGAACGTTAATCGTAGGAATGGTTCGTTCAACGATCGATCCTAATGTCTGTCCAACCCCGGAAGTCGCAGAAGTGAACTAAGTGATTAAATGCATTTTTTCTTAATGAGAAGTGAAACCTGTGTTGACAAAATTTGCAATTGATACTTGAAGCAAATAGAAATGTGCAATTATAATTAAAAATGATGAATGCACGCTACTTAATGTAGTTGCAGAATAGAAGAAATCTACATTCAATTATATAATATTATTATATAATGATATTATATATTTATAAATTATAAATATTATATATTTTTATTATATAAAATCGTTACATAAAGAAATCTCTTGTCACATATAAAACAAACTGAACTTACATTGAGTAGCATTAGTAAAATTCTTTCTTTTCTATTAAAAAAAATCTGTTAACCGATAATATCATTCAATTCTTCAAATTTAAGTTGTGACAAATCATTATATTAAAGTCATAATATTTAATGTGTTATTATTGCATTAATGATCAAATCGTAGATAAACATATTAAATAAATTTTCCGGAGAGAAGTCTAAATTTTATAAATCTAATCTAATCTTGAAAATCTAAAAGCGTATTTTATAAGTTTAATCACATTTGTATTTTCTATTCACTATCAGATAATAACTTTTCTTAAACAGATATCTTCTGAAAGCATTGGACATGTTTTGGCACGAAGACTGCTTGAAATGTGGATGTTGCGATTGCAGACTTGGCGAAGTCGGTTCGACGCTCTACACCAAGGCCAATCTTATCCTCTGCAAAAGAGATTATTTACGGTAAATAATGAACAAACAATTTAATCGATCAACCAGTTCCTCACAAAAATCTTTTCGACAAGATTTTTGTGTATTCAATACAGCGTTGCGCATCCCGAGTCAGTAAACAGACAGACAGATTGATTGACGAAAGATGCTATTGCAAAAGGGAGAGGAAATCGAGGCGGGTAGCGGCAACAAATCGAATTTTACAGATGAATTTCCCTTATTGAATACATCCACATCCCATATAAACACGAGTGAGAGCAAATAAACTATGTTGAGATTACGGAGTCCCGAGGGAATATGCGCAGGTGGTGGCGTCCGCACGAGGAACACGCACCGTCGAAACATTGTGGCCTTTATTAATGGCCTAATATTTGAAGACGGTATATTCGCGGTGCCCGTAAGCTTATTGGTTTCCGTCGCGCACAGGGTGAAACTTCTCGTTCGTTTTCGTCATCGAAAGAACGACTTTTCTTGCGTCATGGCAAAAGTTACTCTCCTTCCCAATAATATTTTATGATGATGTTTAATTGCACGATATAAGAATATCATGATTTTAATTTAATACAACATAAAAAGTATTGTTTCGCGTACATAATTACTTGATATATAATACCTTGTGTAATACGTATAGCCTTGGTCAGAAGTATAAATACCTCCACAAATTGACGTAAACATTCTAACAAAAAACTAAAAAAGTCAATATTTATTTATAACAATTTCAAAATTTTATTAGTTTTCCATTGAACTTTATTACCGTTTTTTTTCCAAGAGAGTGCAATAAATTGACAGAGCTTTCATATATATGGTCAAAGCTAAAAAAATAAGAATGTTAAATCATGCCTCTTTTTTTTTAATAGACTCTTCGGAAATACCGGTCACTGCGCAGCGTGCAGCAAAGTAATTCCAGCTTTCGAGATGGTGATGCGCGCAAGGACCAATGTTTACCACTTGGAGTGCTTCGCTTGTCAACAATGCAATCACAGGTACGTAAGAACACAAATATAATGACACCATCGATTTGATAATTTTCTTTCTCACAAAAAGGATCTTTTATTTAAATTTAAATTAACAGTATTAAGGATTAAAATCATATTAATCATAATTTTTTAATGATTGGCGGAATTCCAGAAAATATTTCGCCGACGAAACAAGTTCCGATTCACGCCGCGTCAAAGTGTGGTCTCGCTTCCGCGGAACCCCCTCTAGCGGTGCTATTATTTTATTAACAATAATGAAAGCCGGTAATTAAACATTCACACCCGGCGGCGCCGACGTCGGCGGCGACGGTAAAGTCGCTTGCTCGAGTATTCCTCATGGCAGCTCATCCGTATAACAATTTAATTCGAGCCACCCCAGCCGCGCGCGCCTGGGGGTTTGCCTAACTTCTGCAGCACTTCGCAACACTTCGCTTACTTATTCACAACAACCGAGTTAAGCCGAGGCTCGTTCGAAAGCCGGGACTCGAGCCGAGACGCCTCGGCGGATCTGCCGAATGGAGATAATCGGTGTGCGAAGGCTCGAGAGCCCGCACGTCATGCTTTTGCAAGACGTCACGAAGAAGACAGCCATCTCTTCTCCATTTCTTCGCAAGACAACAAGCAATACTTCTCATCACACATTTTCAAGTTCTTTTAGAATTTTATAAGAATAGAATCCTATCAAAGAGTTACGATTGTGTCCGAGTGAACGCTCTAGGAAATTTTACAAAATAAATACTTACGCAAATAACTAATATAGTTTACGAATAAGTTATTTGTTTTTAGTAAAATTAGAGTTTGAGAGAATAAAATATCGCTGTTTTCTACTACTGTCCTCCGTTCTAAATTATGGTCGGAATAAACGTTGGTTCGCTCCCCTAATTCGAGACTTTCGAGAAGGATCAATGCCATAGAGCGAGAAGAATTTGCTCGACGTTTCCTCTCTTGACGAACATAATTGACGCGGAGCTTCCGTAGATGCGAAGGCATTCGGAGACATTCGCGGAGAAGAGAGAGAGAGAGAGAGACGAGGGAGGGAGGGTTAGGAAAGTCAAAGTTGCAAACTATGCGAGCGACGTGTGGGTGCCTCGAAGTGCACGTCAGATGCAAATCATGCCGACTAATTTCTCGGAAAACTCACGAATTCGAAGGGAGAGAGAGAGAGAGAGAGAGAGAGAGAGAGAGAGAGAGAGAGAGAGAGAGAGAGAG